AAAAAACCATACCACCGAGCCGCCGAGTTTTTCACAGATGGGTCAAGATGTATCAGGTATGACTTTGTCTTCAAATCCACCGCCTGCAGGTCCGAAGAGAGGGCCTCAGATGCCACAGGGGTGGGAGTGCCAAAAGCGTAACCCTAAGGAGGAGATATGGCAGTCTGATAGAGTTACTTTGTAATGACTCCATACTACTGCCGAGAGTTGTGACTAGTTGGTGTTATTTCATTGGTCGCCTTATTTGCTTCGGGGCCAAACGCCCATGGTCACTCAACTGTACCCCAAAGGCTTTTGCTGAAAAGCATCCTCACATAATCCCAGGTGCTCTGTCCCGCGACCCCTTGATTCCAGCTCTGACACACCTACTTCCAGACAGTTACAGCCCCTCGGCTAATGCCACATGACAGTTTGATCGTCGCGAACGATGAAGTCCACCGTGTGTCCCACGGAAAGGGCGCAGCAGCGGTGACTTACGTATGAATTAGTCTATAGGGAGGTGTAAGTGATAAACCCACTAGTTGGGCACAGTGAGTAGGCTATCCGGGAAACGAAGATAGCAGTATCCCAACAATTACAAACTAGTAACTAAGAACAAAGTCATCAGCAGGTAGAAATGAACGTGCTTGTTCTATGTCTCATTCAAAGTTGTGCCAATTTATTTAAAAAGCGCATTGTAACTGATTAAAACAAAACGGACTTAAATGTCACTACAATACCCCCCCCCCCTCCTAGGAGAAAGGAGTTCAAAAAATTATTGTTAATAGAAGGAAAAGGTGGGAGTGTTATGCATATTGTACAAGTTGGTAACGGTCGAGCAAACGGACTTGACGACCGCTGCGCGTAAGGAAAGAAGTCTGTGGGATAAGGGAAGACGCAGGGTTATTGGGCGTAAGTGGAGTCTGGGAAATAACGAGTGGCAATGACCGAGTGGAGGTTGTTCGGTTGGGGAAGTTGCAAGAGGGTCGGTATAAGCCGCCTACAAGCGATGGACTGAAACCACATCGGTACGGTTTCCACGGTCAATTGTAAAATGCTTGTCCGTGCAAGATAATACTCGAAATATGCCGTCATAGGGATGTTGTAGTGGCCAACGAACGCTATCTACACGGACAAATACAAAAGAACATGTCAGTAGGTTCGGGTCGATGTACGACTTACTTGTTGGAGCACGTGGAGGAGTGGCTCGAAGATGAGTCATGGTTTGGCGCAATCTTTGCACATAATCGCTGGGATCCAAGTCGGCTGAGGTTTGAGAGTACCCGAAAAAATCACCGGGAATCCGTAGGGTAGTACCGCAGACAAGTTCGGTAGCGGAACACTCCAAGTCGGGCTTGAGTGCAGTGCGGATACCGAGCATGGCCAAAGGCAGATGCTCGCTCCAATGGGAACGGTTGCCATGCGCTCGGAGCGAGGCTTTGAGTTGCCAATGGAAGCGCTCGACTAAGCCGTTGGATGAGGGGTGGTATGCTGTCGTGCGTATGCGAGAACATCCGAGGAGGTCTGTAAGGCTGTTGAAAAGTCTAGACTCGAATTGTTGACCTCGATCGGTGGTAACAGTTGAGGGGACGCCATAATGAGAGATCCTGTGTTCCAAAAAGGCATGAGCAACGGAATCTGCAGTTATGTTAGGTATGGAAGTTGCAATGGGCCAACAAGTAAATCGGTCAATCGCAGTAAGTAAGTAGTTGCGGCCACGCAATGTTAGAAAAAGACCTACCAGATCGATATGGACATGTGCAGACGTGCGTCGTGTGCGAGAAAAGTGACAATGGGGGCTTTGTTGTGCCGTCCGACTTTGGTCTTCTGACAGGCCAAACATGAACGGGTCCACTGGCGGATATCATTGAGTAGGCTACCCGGGAAACGAAGATAGCAGTATCCCGTTTACGCGTGCCACAAGCGCCAGTTCCTCGATCGTACAAACCCGACTTCGGCAAAGTCGTATCCTTCACACAAGTGAAAGATGTACATGCCAACAAACAATGTTTCATTCTGCATCGCTGTAATAACAAATTGCGTCGCACGACTGGGGTGTGCCTGCTGTGTGAAGTTATGTTTGTTGCTGACGTGTGCAAACGTATGAATGGATGGGTCAGTGTATCGTGTGTGTGTGTGTGTGTGTGTGTGCTTGGAAAGTGTAATGATTTAAAGGACATGAATTCTGCTGTTTTATTGATCATTGTCCTGCATACGCATGCGTTCTTACAGTTAATGCGAAGTCTGAATGTGTTGTGGACAGTTCGGGAGGACGCGACGGGTACTGGTTGGAGTTTTCACGAGATTTATCAATTGTAGACATCGCAAGGATTCCCAAATCGCAAGCCAGGGAAGGCAGATTAGGCTGGGCATGTTTTACTGATGTGAAAAGCGCACAGGGAGCTCAGCAAGCAATTGTCGCTAGATGTCTTTCCCGGTGTGTTGCGTGTCAGTATCTGTCTTTGAGGTTCTTAGCCCCCAGCGTGTATGCTCGGCCTTGCGCTGTCTGAATTGTGCCCGCCCGTAGCCAATAAGCGAAGGAACCGCGTTAATTGGCTTCGAGCTCTCGCAAAGCTAGCGACAAGCCTCGTGCGTTCCCAACAGTGAATCAATGGGAAGCGCGAGGCAAAGCGGTGGCGATCAGGTGAGCGGACCACCACAGTTTCTGGCACTGGTTCTTTAGTCGCGCAACTACGGATCGCAAGTAAGTAGTCAGGCCAAGCTCAAAGAAGGCTTCCTGGCACTGTGCTCGTATTTTCGGTGTGCGTCTGCGTCATAACGGGCCCTCTTTGCAGTGGGTTACGAGAATGTCTGGAAAGCGATAACCGGAGTCGTACCTCTATGGGGTGCGGTGGGAGGAGATATTCCGATGTTGCTGATCGATTGCTCAAGGTGGGACTAATCGGGTTGGCATTGCGGTAGATTCTAGTGTGTCCAACTTGACCAACTCGCACGCTGGGCGTCTGCAATGCGGACAAATGCCCCCTGTCCCATGGCGGAGTGTCATGTGCCGAGGACTCACTCACAATATTAAACTGTCCTAGAAAGTTTGTTGGTGCAGTTGCTGAGACTTTCCACGCTGATTCATTTGTTGTGCCGCTAAACGCATCTATTGGTCTGGCTAGTAATCCTACACCACCCTTCTAGCACCGAAAATATGTCCGTGCGCTGATTTGCGGGAAGCATGAATTCCTTCGAGGTGGGCTCACTCTCTGGTGCACCAGTTGACTGTCCGAGCCTGTTTGCTAACGGGTAATGACATTGAGTACAGTGGCTGACGATGCCTGAAGGTCAAAATCTTTGGCGCGCAACCAGACCCCTCCTATATATGAAGGTAGATACCAGCTCAGATCATGTACGGCGGAGTTTGTTGTGACCAATACATACAAAACCGCGTTTTACAAATGCTGAAACCAAGTGCAGCAGAGGACGAGCGGTACCAAAAGTAATGAACAACTCCCGAGACGAAAAGCTAGAGGATATGCGGACAGCAGTGACACGGATAACGGCGAGACCTTGAGGAAGGAGACACGATCGCTGGGACAAGAGCTTTTTTAGCTTGACGTTTCGGATTCATGCTCGAAACCATCATCAGAGACAAAAGCAGATACGCGCGATTCACGCACCAGGGGCTGCAGTATTTATAGGATGCAGTCGTCATGCTACCGCATTCCTATGAACATTCACGGCTCTCCCCTTCATCCGGGGTCGTTGCACGTGGTGTGTTAATTGCTTGATGGCGTCAGTTAATGAAACCGAAAGGCCCACTGTCACGGCAAGAAACGTCTGGAGTCGTTTATCGGATCTGGTGCAGTTGCGGACAAGGCAACTACGTCGGAGAAACCGGAAGACAGCTCCGAACGAGAATGGCTGAACACGCTGCAGCGGTACGGAGAAATGACGCCAACTCCCAAGTTGCGACTCCTTCGACGAGATCCGGCCACACATTCAAATTCGACGAGGCCGAAATTCTCGCAAGAGGTGACAACCGCGTGAGCCGGGAGCTACTTGAATCATGGTTTACTGGCCCCCAGTCTATTAACAAGTGCAATAAACTTCCACTTACATACTATGTGCTGAGACTTCGTCTAGGCGGAGTAATTGGCCACGCGGGGAGCGCACAGGTGAACACTTCTCCCAACCCGAGGATCGATGCGTCAGATGGTCGAGCAATCATCACACCAACATCCGACGCACGTGATGAAATTGCAGCAATTAACGACGTGAATGTCGGTCATCAAACAGCCATCACAGCACGTGCAACGATCACGGATGAAGGAGGAGACGTGAATGTTCATAGGTATGGGGTAGCATGGCTGCAGCATCCTATAAATACTGTAGCCCCTTATGCATGAACCGCCCGTATTTGCTGTTGTCTCTGACGATGGGTTCGAGCAGAAACCCGAAACGTCAAGCTAATAAAGCTCTTGCCCCAGCGATCGTGTCTCCTTCTTCAGGAAAATAACTGCTCGCCCAATTAACAGTTTCTTCTGGAAAGTCCTTAATTGTACCAGTAAATATCGGTTGCAATAGAAAAACAATCAAAACGGGATTTAAACTTCCACCGAGTTGACTTTAGTATGTGTGTGTGTGTGTGTGCTTGCCGGTGAGACTACGCCTAGCGTCCATTTGCTGGCACGCAACTCTCACCTGTGGCTCCACATAGCTGGGCTCAGCTCAGCGGCCACACCCCGGGCAACCGTCTCGACCGACGGGCTAAACCAGGTGAGGGCGCTGTGCACTTGTGCCGAGTGCACAGCGTACCGCGGACTCCGCTGCATGGATGGTCGGATGAAACACTGCGCCGGCATCGTCGAGACGAGGCTCTGCCTGGTACGCGGTTGGATAACTGCTGCCGGGACGGGTCTCTGCATCGCCTTCGCTGAGACGCACCCAACCTCGCCGACGGAGACCGCGGACTCACGGCACATGCGGTCGTTCTCCACTACGAACATAAAAGTCGTGACCCCATAGTGGGATTCGGTCGCGCCAACCAGGCACATGGGCAGCCCGATTCAGGGATGGCACTGCCAGGCCCACGAGAGGAAGGGCCTGGAAAAGGTGGTCTAAAAATGCTGGGCACCACGCCGTCTGCAGGCCAGCCAAGGCCGCAAATGCCATCAACACGATCGAAAGAATCAAAATCGAAACAACAACAATACCAATTACAACAACAACAACAACAACAACAACAACAACAACAACAACCATGCTCATTCTCCTCATCCTACCTCTTCTTCCTCTACCTCCGTCTATTCTTCTGCCTATACTTCTCCTTCGTCATCTTCTTCTCCATCTCCTTCCCGTCGCCCCACTCGGTGTCACCAGACTGGCAGGGTGAGCCAGCTCACTCTGGCAGCCTGGAATGTTCGTTCCCTTTTAGACAATCCGAGGAGCAACCGACTGGAACGGAGGACGGCGCTAGTGGCACGAGAACTGGCGCGCTACAAGGTGGACATCGCCGCACTCAGCGAGACCCTATTCTCCGAACAAGGCCAACTGGAGGAGGTGGGTGCCGGCTACACCTTCTTCTGGAGTGGTCGACCCAAGGCCGAGCCACGAGAGGCGGGCGTCGCCTTCGCCATCCGGACCGTCATTGTAGGACGACTGCCCTGTTTGCCGCAGGGAATCAACGACCGCCTGATGAGCCTTCGTCTGCCCCTCCGGCGAGGAGGCAAGTTCGCCACCATCATCAGCGCCTACGCTCCGCAGATGACCAGCCCCGACGCCGCCACAATAGACAAATTCTACGAGGACCTGCACGCCCTCTTGGCGACTGTGTCGAGGGCGGACAAGTGGATTGTCCTTGGTGACTTCAACGCCCGCGTCGGCACAGACCATACTGCCTGGAGAGGAATGCTGGGCCCCCACGGTCTCCACGGCTCCAACGACAACGGCCTGCTTCTCCTCCGCACCTGCGCAGAACACCGCCTCATCCTGACGAACACGTTCTTCTGTCTGCCGGAGCGAGAGAAGGCCACCTGGAGGCATCCTCGGTCGCGTCAGTGGCACCTGCTGGACTATGTCCTCGTCCGGAGGCGAGATCAGCGGGACATGCTGGTGACGAAGGCGATCGCGGGTGCTGACGGGTGGACCGACCATCGCCTCGTCATCTCGAAGATGCGTATTCGCCTACAGCCTCGCAGGAGACCACAAGGCAAGCGACCCCCAGGTAAGCCGAAAATTGCCTTGTTGTCTTTGCCTGCTCACCACATTCATTTCAGCAATGAGCTAGCTCAACGGATAAACAACCTTCCTCGGTCGCGCACGTCGCCAACACCAGGACTGGTTCGACGACAACGACGCCGTCATCAGCAATCTGCTCGCCGAGAAGAACCGCCTACACAATTCCTACACAGACCACCCCACTGATGCCAACAAAGCCGCTTTCTACCGCGGTCGCCGCCAACTTCAGCAACGACTGCGCGAGACGGAAGACGCCTGGACTGCCCGCAAGTCCGAGGAGATCCAAGGGCACGCGGAGCGTAACGAATGGAAGAACTTCTTCTCTGCGATCAAAGCTGTCTACGGTCCGCCGACGATGGGTACTGCTCCTCTCCTCAACGCCGACGGCAACACTCTCCTGACTGAGAAGACGCAAATCCTGCAGCGATGGGCCGAGCATTTCCGAGGCGTCCTCAACCGCCCTTCCGTCATCTCCGACGCCGCCATCGCCCGCTTGCCGGAAGTGGAGACCAACGTGGACCTCGACCTCCTGCCATCTCTCCAGGAAAACATCAGGGCCGTGCAGCAACTCTCCAGCGGGAAAGCACCCGGATCAGACGCAATCCCTGTTGAGGTCTACAATCACGGAGGTTCCCAACTCATGGATCACCTGACTGCGCTCTTCCAGGAGATGTGGCGTCAAGGTGAAGTCCCGCAAGATTTCAAAGACGCAACCATCGTGCATCTCTACAAGCGCAATGGGAATCGCCAAGTCTGCGACAATCACCGCGGCATCTCCCTGCTGAACATCGCCGGGAAGATCTTCGCTCACATCCTTCTCAACCGCCTCAATAACCATCTGGAACAGGGCCTTCTGCCGGAAAGCCAATGCGCCTTCCGTCATCATCGTGGGACCACGGACATGATCTTCGCCGCCCGTCAACTTCAGGAGAAGTGCCAGGAGATGCGGACACACCTGTACTCTACCTTCGTTGACCTGACGAAAGCCTTCGACACGGTGAATCGTGAAGGACTGTGGAAGATCATGCAGAAATTCGGCTGTCCGGAGCGATTCACTCAGATGGTGCGTCAGCTGCACGACGGTATGATGGCGCAAGTCACGGACAACGGAGCTGTCTCAGAGGCATTCGCAGTGACCAACGGAGTGAAGCAGGGCTGTGTGCTGGCGCCTACCCTCTTCAGTCTTATGTTCTCTTCCATGCTGATGGACGCCTACCGCGACGAACGCCCCGGGATCCGCATCGCCTACAGGACGGACGGTCATCTCCTGAATCAACGGCGCATGAACTTCCAATCGCGCGTATCCACAACCACTGTTCACGAACTCCTCTTCGCCGACGACTGCGCCCTGAACACCACCTCGGAAGTGGAGATGCAACGGAGCATGGACCTGTTCTCTGCCGCCTGCGAGAACTTCGGTCTGGTCATTAACACGCAGAAGACGGTGGTGATGCATCAACCGCCACCCCACTCAGTCACAGCCCCCAAAGCGCCGCCGCAAATCAGCGTGAACGGAACCCAACTGCAAGTGGTGGAGAACTTCCCGTACCTGGGAAGTACCCTCTCCCGCAAAACCAAGATTGATGACGAAGTCGCCAACAGCATCTCGAAAGCCAGTCAAGCCTTCGGTCGACTCCAAAGCACAGTTTGGAATCGCCACGGTCTCCAACTGAGCACAAAGCTAAAGATGTACAAGGCTGTCATCCTGCCGACGTTACTGTACGGAGCAGAGACATGGACGGTGTACACGAGGCAGGCACGTCGACTGAACCACTTCCACCTCAGTTGTCTTCGTCGCATCCTGAGGCTGAACTGGCAGGAACGAATTCCCGACACGGAAGTACTGGAACGAACGGGAATCCTCAGCATCTACTCCATGTTGAGACAAATGCAGCTGCGCTGGAGCGGCCACCTGGTGCGCATGGACGACCAGCGACTACCCAAACGACTCTTCTACGGAGACGTCGCGACGAGTTCTCGCCGTCAAGGAGGCCAAATTCGCCGTTACAAGGATACCCTGAAGTCCTCCCTGAAATGCTTGCAAATCAACACGGCCAACTGGGAAGAGCTCGCCCGCGATCGTCCGACATGGAGGAGGACAGTGAAGACAGGCTCTGCGATCTACGAAGCCGATCGCATCGCTGCCGCCAAGGCGAAACGCGAATCCCGCAAATCCCTACTTCGCCCAGTACGCAACGCCGCCGCACAACCGCTCCCTAAGTGTCCTCGATGTCAACGGACATTCCGGGCTCGAATCGGACTTGTTGGACACCTTCGGATCAACTGCACCTCTCGGATTTCCCCAACCATTGTCCCCCCGCTCGCCTCTTCCTCATCCTCTTCGCCGCCAACTAAGTCTGACAGTTCTTCTGAAACACCACTTACATCCTCCTCCTCCTCCTCCTCCACTGCTCCCACGACGGCCGCACAGGCAACTGTCCCGCGCGCAACGACCGACACTGCTACCACCTCCCCCTACTCCAGTGATGAGGATCAGGACTACACCTGCCCTCACTGCGATCGCACCTTCACCTCCCACATCGGCCTGGTCGGTCACTTGCGAATCCATCGCACAGAGACTGGCGAACCAGTGCCTGGAGCACCAACCTACACCCACCGCACTCGCCTCCACTGCCCACACTGCCCGCGCACCTTCACGCATCGCATGGGCCTATTCGGTCACATGCGCATCCACGAGAGCGGAACTGACCGCAGCTCCGACACACCCACGACATCCAGCACATTCACCACGCCCAGTCCCATCCTCGCTCCATCGCCCTGCGCGCCCATCACCACCACCACCACCACCAACATCACTGCTTCCTCTACAGATTACACTGGCGCCGCCGACTTCACATGTCCACACTGTCCACGTACATTCACCTCACGCATCGGCCTGGTCAGTCACCTGCGAATCCATCGCACAGAAACTGGCAAACCAGTGCCTGGAGCACCAACCTATACCCACCAAGCTCGACTCAGCTGCCCACACTGCCCTGGCACCTTCAGGCATCGCATGGGTCTATTCGGCCACATGCGCATCCACGACGACCTGCGGTAGACAACCGCCGGTCACACCACACATTCCCTCACTCCCTATCTCCTAACACCATCATCCCACCTGACATCATCCATCACACACCCCATGCACTCAACTGCCGCCTCCCACGCAAGTGGGAAGTGTGCATCTCGACTCGGTCCCCATGCGGCTTCGGCTGCAGGGGTGACTTGAGTACGAGACTATCCCGACACGTCAAACGTCGTGGATAGGAAGGTTGCTGATTGACGCCCGCTCTCGGTTCACGCAGTTCGTCACGATCTGTGTGTGGGTTGTGTGTAGTGGCGGACTGGTGGGCTGAGGACGGGCTGCAACAGCACCTTCCACGGCCCTCTCACGTAAGTGAGAGACACGCCGTTCAACCCCCGTTGTGTGAAATCCTGGTGTTTGTGTGTATGAGGGGCCAGGTCGTGCCGTGGCGCGCGCAGACATGGTCAGTCGACCATGTCAGCCACCGCGCCCACTCCCCACTCCAGTCTGCTGACCGGCCCGGACAGCGGCTGGGGTGTGGGGATGGGAAGGGAGAGTGAGGTCGTCGACTCAGAGCACTTTCTCCTCACTATAAACAATCTGACGCGCT